GTAAGCAATTGATTTATAATAGTCTCTAGCAGTCAAGCCTCACTGCTAATGTTAATCTGTATTTGCAGCTACTCCCCAGCGCTGGCACCACTGCCTCAGCTCCACCTCAGATCATCAGGCATTAGATTCTCATAAGGAGCATGTAACTGAGATCCCTCACATGAGTACATCACAATAGGGTTCACATTCCTATAAGAATCGAATGCCTCGGCTGATCTGAACAGAAGATAAGAGCCCAGAAGGTAATGTGAGCAATAGGGAGCGGCTGTAAATACAGATGCAGCTTTGTTCGCTTGGATGCTGCTCACCTCCTGCTGTATGACCCAGTTCCTAACAGAGTACCGGTCCATGGCCCAGGGGTTGGGGAGCCCTGCCTTAGACCAATCCCACCCCTAAGAATAAAAATTAAACTAAAAAAAAAATGAATAGAATATACATTTAATTGTAAAAAATCACATGAAGAAAACAAATATAGAATTGCAGTTAATATTTACAAAATCATCATGCAGTCACAATATTACATGTGGATAATTGTGGTTAAAACACCTTGGATATTTCATTTATTTTATTTTATTACAAAGATGTGGGGTACAACTCAGGGTTAGGTATACAAACGTTGATTATACAGGTACCCTTGTTAATAAGGTGTGCCCCTCCCTCCCCTAGCAGTTTCCCTCAATTGCCAATCCCACCCCCCTCCCCTGACAGTTTCCCACTACTGCCAATCCCTTTCTTACAGTATTATAATTGTTCAAGGTCTGCTTATGAGTGAGAATATATGGTACTCTGTTCTTTGTTTCTGTGTTATATCACTGAGTATGATCTACTCCAAATCCATTCAAGCTGCTGCAAAGTCCATATGTTTGTCCTTCTTTATGGCTGCATAACATTCCATTGTATATATGTATCACATTTTTTTTTAAATCCAGTGCAGCTTTGATGGGCAACATGGTTGGTTCCATGATTTTGCTATTTGTGATTAGAGCTGCAACAAACATATGTGTGCAGGTATCTTTTCTGTAGAATGATTTGAGTTCCTCCGGGTATATTCCCAATAGGGGGGATATTTCATTTCTAAAGTTAGACTCCATAGGTATATTCCATTTAAAGTTATTTTCATCTTCTTAAAAGTTATATGCAACAGAGTGTGTAAGTTTCTTTAATGATAATTCATTTCTTTCTGTGACATAAAAATGCCAAGTGGATTAACCCATCAAAAAGTTGCATTTCTCTTAGCAGAGAAAATAAAATGTCCCATTTCTCCCTAGAAAAGGATAACATTTTCTAATTGTGCAAACATTTTATGAAAGTATCATCTGACTCTGTATTTTGACAGCTGCTTTGCATTAATAAATGGAGCCCAGGAAAGGCTCTTCATAGGACATGTTCCTTTTTTTTCTAGTCAAGAGGTGTTACTCATTATTTTGGAATTATTCAAATTTAAGAAAGTAATAAAGGATCTCTATTCAGGGGTTCTTAATAAACTCCTAACTTCTTGTCCCTTTAAGGAAAAATACAAGGTTTTAGAGGAAAAAGAAAAAAAAATATTTTAGACTATGAGTTCCTTGTTTTGGGAATCAGTACTGTTCAGCACAGTACCATACAAACTTTGCATTTTGATGGCATTTAGTAGGTGCTCAGGAAGTGTCTACTGAGTTGAACAGGTTTGGGAAGAGGCAGGAAACTATTATCCTCATTATACAGATGGGGAAACCAAGGCCCAAATAACTCGTAGGTGCATTTATATTGTGCTTTGTACTTTGCCAAGGGCTCTCACCCAAGTTTTACTCATTTAAAAGCTGGTGCTCATCACTATTATATGTAAAGTAGGAAGAGAAAAGAACAATGATGTGTTTGACACATAGTGAACTAGTCACTGCTAGACTTCCTATATATGAGGAGCCGGTCTTTACTGCTACAGGAATTCTAAAACCTAATGATTAAAAAAAATTCAGGTCTGGGACAAAAATAACCTTCTGGGAAAGAAGGTTACTTTTCTATGGACCAAAAAAAAAAAAAAAAAAAGAAAGAAACACTATGGCAATCTTTGGACTAAAAAAATTCCTATCATATACACAAAAAGGTTCCCGTATGCTATTGGTGGTATTGTAAATTGGTCCTGTTTTTATGAAGGAGAATTTATGAATATCCATCAAAATAAAAATAAGTGTAACTTGGACCTAGCTTTGACCTAGCAATTTACTTTTATGAATGTATTCACACTACAGATATACTGGCACAAGAGTGTAGAAATATATGAAGGAAAGGTTTTAATGAATACAAAAACGTTCCCTGCGAGATTGTCAGTAACAGAAAAAACTTAAAATGCTTAAGTGTTTATCAATAAATTGCTGGCTATGGCTACACAACTTATGGGTTATCTGGGTTGTGATATTTTATGAAGACATCTGAAATATAATATTAATCTATGTACTGACATGAAAAGATGGCCAGAACATAACAAGTCAAAGGTGAGTTGCTTAACAGTATGCTTTCCTATGAGTAAGAATACTCACCAAAGTATTAGTGATGGCTGTCTCTATAAAATGAAATGGGCTATTTTTTATTTTATTCACTTCTATAATACTTGATTTTTTATTGAAAACAGATTAGTTTTCAAATTCGAAAATTAGGAAGAAGCTGTTTAGTTCTGGTCACACAAGAACTGGTTTTTTTTTTGTTTGTTTGTTAAAGTTAAAAGTAAGTGGAATCCAGAAAATGGCTAGCTGTTCTTCTACAGTACCATAGTGCCTAGCACAGTGCTTGTCATACTGTTGGAGCTCTATAAATATTCTTAAGAAATAAGTGAGTAAGGATGGCTAACCGTGGTCACTCTTTAGTAAAGACTCAATTTTTATGGAGGGACATAAGAACAGCCAAATTTTCTAACCCTAAAAACCCATTAAAACCCACTGGTCAATGGAGAAGAGTTTATGATGGCTACAACAATAGGGTTGATTTATGTTAAAGAAAGACCAACTACTCACCAAAAAACGATCTGAGGGTTTGTATTGGGAAAGGAGTCTTACTGAGCTCTTGTCATATGCTTCTTTGAGCATCTCTTAAGGGCACTGACCTGTTGGTTTAGAGGTCATGGAAGCATAAAGAGGAGGGAATCTCAGAGAGTGCACAACTGGTCCAGCCAATTCAGACAGGGAGCCTTAACATCAATGCTCTCATTGTAAGGAATTCAGATGGACTGAACCTGCTGCGACAGTGCTTCCATTTTCTCCTGGGGAATTCTTTCCCTATCAACTTAACTAACAAAAAGTTCCTCATGGCACTGAGCTAGAATCTGCCTCTTTATAAAACTGACCCACAAACAATAAATCTAGGCAGTTCTGCACAGTGGACTAGAGAACAGGCTCAGGAATCAAATACCTTCCTTGGACCTTGGCTTCTGCAGGTAGGTGGCGTGTGACCCTTAGGCAAACTTCTCTAAAGTTGTTTTCTCTTTTCATAATGGGGACAGATTACAGTTCCTACCTCATGGAGTGGTTTTAAGATCATGAAATGATACATGCAAACTGCTCATCACAATGTATGGCACAAAATGCTCAATTAATAGTTGTTACAATTGTTATAGGCCTTTGTCATAGGTATTTGACAGAAACAGGTGGGAAAGTGGTACAAAATAGCACTTAAAAAGATGTCAGTGGGTCACATGCCTGAAGACATTGATCAAGTGACTCAAGCATTTCCTCTGTGTTTTTCTCACTGGAAATAAACCAGAAAACACTCCTAAGTAGGGGAGGGAAATGTCATATCATTAATCTGACAACAACAAAAAGTTGTTACTTTCACAATTAGAGACACTAACTTATAAAAATAGTGACTTCAGGTGTTTGCGAATCCACTCATCTCTGGAAGATGCGAGAAAACAGCTCCCTCTTGGGCTTCTCTCAAAACTTGTCTCCCTGAAGCTTCCTAGCATTCAAAAGGCTGTCAGGTGAAACCCAAATCTTCTCTAGCCATTCTGAAACTTTTCTCAAGGATAATGGCTACCTATCAGTCTGGATTTGATTTTATATTATTATTCAAGACATAAATCATTAATCCTAAATGTATTCAGGAATGTATGGGTGTGCACAATGTATGTATATGGTCACCATATGTATCTGCATTATAAACCATACGAAATTCAGTAGACTAGGAGACTTAGGATCTAGGCCTAATCTTGACCCAGCCACTAATTCACTGTCAGTAATGTTTTACTCATATGTAAAATGGTTACAATGAATGGTTCTTACACTATGATCTGAGGAACTCTTGGTTAGCATAGCAGTGCCAGGGCAAGTTTGCTTGGGCTCCAGGCCTCCACCTTGTTTCAAGCAGAGCAGCAATATTTAAAAAGATGCCTCTCCTCTCATTAACTCTCCTCAGATGATCCCTCTGATGAGAACAACCTAAGTAGGGCAAACTACTCCCTTCACTTTAAAAAAATAGGAGTTGCTGAAAGAAATCTTTTGAAACAACATCACAAAGCAGTGCCCCTACCTGGTGTGGGTTTGAAGAAGGGGGAAGTGTTTATAGGAGACGAATAGTGGGGTTACGGAGGGGTGGTGTTTGACTGAGAGGTGCCTTCTGGATCTCTGTGGAATGCACAGCTGTGGAGCCAGCTGCATCAACAGAATCATGGTGCCCTGCATGGTGGGCTGTGACCTCCCTCTGTGGGGACAGTGGGGTGTGGGGGAAAGGGGACTAGACATGGAATCAGAAGATATAGGTGTGAGTCTCAGTCTCAGGACAGGGCGCTTCATCTCTATGACCTGTTATGTCCCTCCTAAAAAACAGGAATTAAAATATCTACTACATCAGCCTAACGGGCTTATTGTACAGTGTAAATACAATGAAGTCTGAAAAGCATTTTGTAAATTAGAAAGTCCCATAAATATGTAAGCTGTATTCATCATCCCATCAGAAAGATGTCTAACTGTGATCCTAAAACTCTAGAAAGCTTGCTGAGATCACTTTCCTAGGTATGAATATAAAAGGGGGTAAATGATCAAATAAATGAAGCATTTCACTATGTTCATATAATTTCAACATGTCTTAATTATAAAAACCATCATCTCTAATATGCTACGAAGAACTTCATATAAGATTACAAAGATCTAATTATATATGGAAAATGTATAATATTATAAAATCTAATTATATGTGATTTCAAAAAATGTGGCTAGATTATTCTTAAGAACTACTGCAGTGGCAATTGGTCTTTTAAATGTATACAGTAATATCAAAAAGTTTTACAAAAATACCCTAAGTACAGAGTCTCTACTTTACACTTGAAGAAGTAGTGCATGCTTTACCCCTGTTTCACATCGTTGCAGCTCAGAGTTGGCTGTTACACGTCTCTGCTCAAGTCATCTGTGGGGACGGAGATGCCAGAAGACCACAAAGCTCCACTTCTACAGAAAACTATCAGCTTTTCTGGTCGGGATGTTCTCTAGAGCAATCCTCTTCATTTTCTTCTGAGCAAGACAGATTCAGGACACTCATCACAGGATGGGTCCAGGATGTGGTTTGTGTGACGTGGCTTGAAAAGAACAAGGAATGCAGTTAGAATCTGAGGGACTGTCTTACCACTCGTCCTTGCAAGTACTGATTCTGATGGCACTGCTTCCACCTACTGTAGTCCCTGCGATACAAAGCAGTGAGAACTGGATGCAATAGTTATTAATAAGTCTTAGACATGTTTTAAAGCTCAATGAAAACCATTTCTTTCTTTTTTCTTTGATAAAAAGGAATGCAGACAAACGTTTCATCTTTGACTCCTCTCTTTTATGGACCTGACATTCAGTCAGTTGGCAAGTCCTATGATTGTCTAGCTGTAACATCTCTGGAGTCTGTTTCTTTCTGTTCTTTTTCAATGTAATTGCCTGGGTCACTGAAATAGCTTCTCTCCCTGCCTCTGTTTTAGTTCTTTCCTAATTCATTCTCCACTCCGGCCAAGAGAACTTTCCAAATGACAAATCATATACTGTTACCCACTTGCTAAAAATTCAGTGCCAACCAATGCCTTCTGGATGAAATACATACCTTAGTTTTTAACCTGCCTCAACAGTATCTTCTTCTCTGCCACAAGACATCTCTACTCAAGGAGGAGTCCCTGAGGAGTTAACTCATGCTAATTCTAAAAAAACCACTTCTTCAAGATTCCTCCAATTTGTGCCCATGGTCTTATCTCTTATTATACCGCATTACAAATGCCTGCTTATTTTTAGTCCTTCTTACTACATATGAAGCTCCTTAAGGGGAGGAATTGTGTTTCTTATCTATCAAGTTATGGTGCCTGATACGTTCTCAGAACAAATGACTACCTTGAAAGGTGTTTCAGAGAAAGAACACAAGCAAAGATGAGGAAGAAAGTACAAAATATACTGGGCATGTCTAGGGAGTGGCAAAACAACATCACAAAAGCATGCTCCTACCTGGGGGATGGTATTTCTCATACCTAGTGTCCTACTCCCAGTGTTCAGCTGGGTGAATCTCCTAAATTTACCACCACCTGCCTAGCTCCTGAGTGCTAGACAGAGCTTCTGGAATTATGATGAAGAGTTGTTTTTTCTCCTTAGATATTCTTTTTAACTCTGGTTTACTCCACTTCCCTCATCAATCCTGGATCAGTAACCCTACCCAAACTCACTCTCAGAAGCAGCATCATTTCTCAGCTTAAGTGCATCTGAAGGCCGGCAGTTACCATGATTGTGGATCTGAAAGTACCTTCTGCATTAAGTAACATTTTCCAAAGTATGTTCCCAAGAGTTTTAAATAAATGTTATGTGAAGAATAGCCAGGCACAGTGGCTCATGCCAGTAGTCCTAGCTATTCAGAGGTTGAGGTGGGAGGATTGCTTGAGCCTAGGAGTTCGAGGCTGCAGTGAGCTATAATTGTGCCATTGCACTCCAACCTGGGTGACAGAGCAAGACCCTGTCTCAAAAACAAGCAACAACAAAAACAACAACAAAAAACGGAAATAAATGTTGTGTGAAGAATAGAATTTTATGGTCAAATAAGTTGGACATAGTTAATAGGGGCTATTCAGAGGCTGAGGTGGGAGGATTGCTTGAGCCTAGGAGTTCGAGGCTGCAGTGAGCTACAATTGTGCCATTGCACTCCAACCTGGGTGACAGAGCAAGACCCTGTCTCAAAAACAAGCAACAACAAAAACAACAACAAAAAACGGAAATAAATGTTGTGTGAAGAATAGAATTTTATGGTCAAATAAGTTGGACATAGTTAATAGGGTTCTTTACTACAGGATTTCCCAGAGCCTTTAATGTGCTTGTGTGCTCTATGTGTCTCCAAGACTGCCACATTAACAAAACCAACATATTCCTGTTAAAATATGCAGGACTAGTATTCCATAGGACACAGTTTGGTAACTATCACAAAGTATGCATTTACTTTACTGGCTACTGATTACAACAATGAAAATGTTGTAATGGTCAGTTCCGCTGTCATTACTGGTTTGGTTTAGTTTGCTTTAAGTCTTACACTCTAAGTTTTGTTCATATTCTCCCTACACACATTGTTCAGCTTCTCTGTTTAAATATTAAAAATGTATCTGTTCATAGAAGAAGATTACTGGTGGTTTCTGGATGGGGTAAAAGAGTTCAAGTTGTTTAAGAATTAAGGTGAGAGTGACAAGGCCTAGACATCTTCATAGTTTCAAAAGCTCAGAGTGTGGCTGAGTGGTACAAAGAATCATTATTCTCTTGACAATAATTCATATTACTAATATTTATTTAAAATGGTTTAATGAAATTTTTTATTATGGAGACCAAATTTACTAAAGCATGTGATTTGACACATATTGAAATAAAGGTTAACTTTATTTCAAGGTCTTTATAAAGCTGGAAAGCTGCCTACCTTGAAAGTGGTTTTAAAGAAATACTAATGAGTATAACAAAAGAGGACTGGAATGCCACTGGAAGGTGAAATGAGGACATCGTCCTGTACAAAGTACATGTTTAAAAAACTAAAGGAAAGAAGTTTGAGGAGACAGCTTTGATTATTTTAAAATCTTGGCATGTATATTTTAATGTTTATCAGTGTATTTATAATATATTAGTCCAAAGAAGAGACCATAATTTTATTTTAAATCCTCCTACCTCTTTAATGTTTCATAATTAGAGAAGATGGGAGGGAAAAAAAGCAGGAACAAATTATCTCAGAGATAAGTTTAGGTGCATGCTTGCTATTTGAATTTTTATAAATAATATTCTCATGCTTGAAGTATTATAACTGCCCACATATGAACATTCATTAAATTACTAGCTTAAAATAACCAAAAGTAAAATTTCTAAGAAAAAAATGTAGTTATACTACAATGAGCAATGAATATTATAAAGTTTTACCAGAAAGTCATCCATGCCAGTAACCTTCATAAAGCACTTTTTAATCAACAAATCAACATGTGATCTTACTCCAAATATAAAAGTAATGTCATAAAATTTGACTAATCACACCTAAGCATCAAACATACAATTACAACAGTTGCTCGCTAGAAAAAAATAAAACTGAAGCAACAGAGAGATGTGTGCTGTGCTTTAAGTACATATGACAGACCTGTGTCTCTGTCAAAAACACCCAGAACCAATGGGACTCGGTGCTTCTGAAATGCTAGTAACATTTGAGTATGGAAAATGTCTGGCAGAGAGTACATATTCAATAAAAAACATGACTAATTTTATTGATAATTAGGGCTTACTGGTTCTTGTAAGAAAAATTTGGATTTCTTCCTATGATTCTGGAATGGGACCATTTGTGTGTATACCATTCAATTTATGTCCTAGTGAGCACTGTGGCTAAAGAGCTTTGACATAATCGCTATGATGAGATAATCCCAGATTTACTAGCTTGAAGAACATTCTAGCATTAGAAGTAGTTCCTCCCTGATTTGTGTGCTTGGTAATTCAGCTGATAATTCAGCTGATAAATCAGCCTTGTTGATTCTGTTTAATTAATAAAGACCCCATGGTTCTTAAAGAGAGATGATGCTACTTAGTATAAAAAATTTAGAGGTCTGGGAAATAAATGAAGCTGACTATAAAACATGAAAATCTTCCATTTGAACATACAGTACCTCTGGCAAATGTTCCTGCAGAGACAGTACATCTGACCTGATTTGGAGAGCAATCAACAGCAGCTCAGATATATTTGAAAATCTAAAAAGCATAACTACTATTTGCCACTGAATGGTTGCCAAACCTTTTGTTGGAAAACAATAATATTCGATCTGGGAAGATGATAGCATTGTGTGCTTTAAAAAATATTAGTAAATTGAAAGACATATTTTAGAGTTTATTAAAAAAATAAGAGAACATGCTTTATTTTATTGGCAAAGAAATGTAAGTGAATTATTTAAATCTCATTATAATTACCCTCCTTATGTTTCTTACCTCTTAGCTAAAGGAGCAAAATACTTTCTTTCAAAAAAGAAAGCAAAATGCTTTCTTTCAAAATAAAAATTTGGGGCAGTCTGTTAAACAAAAAGTGGTTCAGAGACAAAAAGTGCATTAGTTTTATAGAAATTCATTCTTATAAATGTCTATCCTGATTAAAGAGGTTCTTTTGTTACTCTTCTATTGTAGATAGCACTATTTATATATTATTGTGAATTTAGCAAGACTTGAACATACTATTTTATCATATTTAAGATAAAGCTGCAGAATAATGAACCAAAAATAATTAACTTCCAATGTCATTTTTTTTCTGAAGAGAATTCATATCAACCAGAAAGCAAAGACAAATACATACTAACACAATCTGTTTCAGGCACCAGTAACTTTGAATCACTGGAAGATTGTACAACTGGCTATAAACAGCAAAGAGTAATGAAAATAAAAAAATTATACTTCAAGAATAATCCCAATTGAAAATAAATTACAAGATAAAAAAACAAGGTGAATCACATCGATAAAATTATTAAAAAGCAACAGAACTATGATAGGGCAGCATGTAATCTTGCCACAAACACTGGTTATGAGAATAAATACTGACTAGTAATGGTAGTATCCATTCCAAATATTTAGGAGAAAATTATAGGTATGTTTGTTCCTATTGATATATACAAGGAGCCCTTTCTTTATAATTTTGGAAATATGCCCCTAAAATCAAGATGAATAATTCTCATTAATGAACTTTGTAAATATCACAGAACACTTTCAGCATTTTGTTATTAGGCATTTGGAAATCCACTGAGACTCTGATCAAATACTAGCAGGATCTCATCCAAATCTTTACAGTCTTGAGGGCAAATTTTATTTTTATTAAGAGGTAAACATTGAAAAGAAAATTCCTGAGGAAAATATGAAAAATAATTATATTTTTGCAAATCATATATATAGGTCTGGATGGCTGTTGACTGTTGTATAGAGTTAAAACATGCCAGGTCCAAAGTTGATAGAATTAATTTTTCAAAGAAAGAGACAATTCTATAATTACAGATTGTAGTACTGGGTAACTTAAAAATTGATGCTGTTTTTGATAATGACAGGATAAAAAATACAGAAAAAACCAAAGAACATGTCC